CCTCGCGAGAAGACAGCTCGCGCGGGCGTGGCCGAGAACACACAGCCTATTGGCCACGCCGTTCAGCGAGCGGCGCCCGCGCAGACCAACCGGCAAGCGTGACCCGACCCCTCCCCGCCACTTCGCCCGGTCCTGGAGGCGGGTGCTCGCCAACGGTTTCCCAGAGTGCGTCTGGGCGGCAGTGGTGGCACCGGTAACTGAAGTTGCAGGAGGCCCTGCCTGTGCACGAGTCTGTCTGTCATGCTGTTAGCCAATCATGTTGTCAATAGTCATAGAGGGGGATTTGCTGTCCTGTCAGACCCCAGTTACCAACGTCATTCATTCAGTCAGTCACTCCGTTCCGGTCACCACAGCTGTCTAGTCAGACATACCGCCTCCCTTAAACCATATCGGTCAGTGAGTCAGTAAACCCACTGCCGTCGTATCTATAGTGACAGCAAAACTACACCATAGGGTTTCCAAAGCTGTACATTTTCACGAAAGCGGACTGCCTCATATTTCTCCCCAGAAGGTAGGAGCGGCTGATGGGTTAAAACCGCCAACCTTCTGGTTAGAAGCCCATTGCTTTAACCACTACCCCACCAGAGATCCTTCAGTCAATTTGTCATCCATCTGTGCCCTCAGGCCAGCAGCAATTCCCCCAAGACAGAAGGAGAGCACTTAGTACCAGCTCCACTGTTAGCCAACCAGACTTCACTTTCTTCACGGTGTCAGTCGATCAGGTTGTCACACATATACCCTGGGACCTGGAGGAATCATCTCATACACCCCTCAGTAAGCCACACTATCCAGCTATGACCTCAGGAAGACTGATTAAATCAGGACAAGCTATCATTGTCAGCATCTGATATCGCCCTGTCACCCACGGAGTTAAGCCCTCAGAGCAAATAATCACAGCAACTAATGATACAATCGAGCCTCCAGACCACCTGTCTGTACATCAGCCAGTCTATAATTTCTCAGGCTAGTCATCCACACCATTGGCCAGTCAGTCAGTCTCCTGTGATCCATTGTGCCTTCTCAGGGAGGCTGTGATTTCATCAGGGCAGACAGTCCGTAACCATGCACAGCCATCAAGTAAGGCAGCTATGCTAATTTTTCAGCTGGTCAAGCAGCCTGTGATTCTTTCAATCAGTCCCTCATCTTGTTGTCAATCAGCCAGATATTCATCAGAATCCAATTGACCACACTGTCTGCCAGAGTCAGTCAGAGCATCCAGCCAGTCCCTCAAAATGTTGTGATTCAGTCAAGGTGGACAGTCAGTTACCATATACAGTAGCCTAACAGGCAAAAGCCTTCTTTAAAGTTTCAAGAAGCAAAGATGTCACATTGATGACTAAGGTGTACCTGACCCAAGCCATGGTCTTTCCGATCTCATATGCATGCAAAAGCAGGACAATGAAAAAGGAAGACAGAAGAATTATTGATGCATTCAAACTGTGGTGTTGGTGAAGAATATTGAATATATTGTTTATTGCCAGAAGAACAAACAAATCAGTCTTGGAAGAAATACAACCAGAATGAGGCTTTGGCTCACATACTTTCAACGTGTCATCATGAAAGACCAGTCACTAGAAAAGGACATTGTAGCTGTTAAAGGAAAGGGTCAGACAGGTACAAGCACTAAGAAACTGAGGCACATCATTAGGAAAGAACAACCACTAGAAAAGGACATTGTAGATAGTAAAAAAGAGGGTCAGCAAAAACTAGGAAGCCTTAAATGAATGGTTTAACACAACAGCCACAACGATAGACTCAAACATACCAATGATCATGAAGATGGCACAGAACCAGGCAATGCTTCATTTTATTATACATAAGGTCATCATGGGCCAGAGCCAACTCAATGGCAACTAACAACAATCCAAGCAACCACAGATTTGTTGATCAGTCAACCTGAAATTTCCTCAAGGTAACTGTGGTGGTTATGTTTATGTGTCAACTTGGCTAGGCCTGGTTGAGTGGCTGGGCAGCTGAATGTAATATTCCCCATGATGAGACTGGTAATCAACTCCATGGTGAAATCTACGGTGAGCAGCTGAGTAGCTGCCTTTGGGTATGTGGTCTGCTTCCTGTATATAAGCAGAAGCTTTGAGAATGGTCTCTAGCCTTTGGCACACTTGGACCCTGCATGTAGCCATGTCATTGCTCAGCAGCCTGCTGTGCTCTGCCGACCTTGGGACTTACAATGGACTTAAGTCAAGGGCCTGCCGTGTGGTAACATCGGGACTGTGCCTTTTTACTTGTCAACCTTGGGGCTTCTCAGCCTCAGCAGCCAGCAGCTGTCTGAGTGAAGAAAAGCCTTTAGCTCCAGTGGGCCAGGAGCAGGAGGCAGAGCTGAACCCCAAGGTTGAGGAGCTTTCACCCAGTCCCTAGAGCCTGGCACTTGAACTTGGACTTAAAGCCTCCAAACTATGAGAGAATAAACTCCTTTTTTGTTAAGGCCATCCACATTTGTGGTATATTCCTGTCAAAGTGGCACTAGGTAACCAAAACAGTAGCCCTTCTTTATACATCATCAAATTATAACATTTAGACATTTCCTCAGGCCTGTAACATCCTGCCATCCAGACCACCACCAACACCATCAGTCATCAGTTTGGTCAGCCTGTAATTCTCTTAGAAGCCTGTCCTCCACACTGTCCCTACCAGCCTCAGCCAGACCCAAGCGGGCTGTAATTCAAATGTTCAGTACTTCATAGCATCAGGCAGGGATACTCACCACTATACTAACAAGGACTGCCAGGAAACCACACTGTCCCTCAAATTGCCCCTCTCCCTCTTGGTCCATGAGTTATACATACAGTCAACCAAATGGTTATATAGTTAACCAAACCATTATTCTGTCAGTCCAGCTATGAGCTGGTTAGAGGAATGGCTGGTCAGTCTGATGTTCCATCATCCCCTTCTTGCCATAAGTGAAACATTCAAAAGCGAAATCCCACCATGCATCCCCTTCCTTCCTTTATTCCTTCTAGAACAGAGTTACATGTTGGTACTTATGTGCTCCAGTCTCCTTGGGTGAACTGGGCTCTCTCGTATCCAGGAGTCCTGGAAACCTGAACAACCCACAAGAGTGGTTTAAGGCATGCCTTTTCCCACCTGTATCTGGAGGGGAGCTATAGAGTCTGTTAGAGTGGGATGTTTCCTTCTGCCCTCTTCAAACAGTATAATGTAGCAGGTAAAGACATGAATTCTGCAGCCAAACTGCCTGGGTTCAAATTCGGGTTCCACCACTTACTAAATTGTGTGAACTTATACAAGTTCCCTCCAGACTAGTTATCTCATTGGGACTAGCACCTTTTCAGGAAATCTCAAAACTAAGAAGTCACCTAGTATTCCTATGTCCCACCACAGTCTGCTTATCCAGCTTTAATCTAATGCATTAATCTAATGCATCCTGTGTATACTGTCTTTCCCAGTGCTGGGGGTCAATGTGAGGTTTTATCCATTCTAAACTGCACAGGTTGGACTTGTTTTTAACGTGAAACTCATGGTAAAATGTATACACATATAAAAGAATAAGCAGACTGTCGGTGAATGGTGTGATGAGTTTTTACAATGAACACACATGTGGAAGCAGAAGGCGGCAGGTCAAGTAACAACATAACCAGCCAGGGTGCCAGAAGCATTTAATTTTTTGACATCTCTGAAATCAGCCTGTGTCTTACAAGCACTGCTGGGTCACAGTTTAATGGGAAGTGCTTTTTTGCCTCTCTTAGTTATATATAAAATAATGTGCATTTTGTAATCAATGGTGACTCAGAGTCAGTGAAATTCAGTAATAATAACAACCACAACAATAATAGTAGCAGCTAACGTTTATAGAGGAGTTCTGGTGGCATAGTGCCTAAGGCATTTATCTGCTAACCAGAAGTCTGGAGGTTCAAACCCACTCTTCCTCAGAAGGAAGATTGAGCATCTACTTCCATAGAGATACCACCTCATAAACCCAAGGAGGGGTTGCTATGAGTTGGATCTGACTTGATGGCAGATGCATATAATGATCTAGACCCTATCTACTTTAATTCTCAACACAACCCCATGAGGTAAGCATTTTTATTTCTATTTTAAAAACTAGGGCTCAAAGAGGTCAAGCAACTTGCCCACAGTCAAGTTTTTTACTCCAGTCTCTGGCTGAGCTAGCCCATGTTCAAGGGGATTTAGAGGTTGGGTGATGCATTCCTGTCTAAAGGCTGAGAAATGGCCCCAGCACCCACGGGAAGGGAGATGTCTTGGAGCACTGGGTTTCTAGGGTTTCTGCAAGAGTGGGAAGGGCTCTTTCTAGACTCAGTGCTCACCATGGGGGCCTCACTGGCTAGGGTGGGAGTGGAATCACTAAAGAATTAAAAGAAACCTGGGACATCCTCCTTCCTTCTCCAGCTCTGGGGCAATTCCGCCTTCCATGGCTCTGGGAGAATTTTTAAGAGGCAAAGCTGTCTCCCATTCCCAGCACCTCATCCCTCTTGACCCCAATGCCTACTTGGTTTCCTCCCTTTCTCTTCACCCCCATCTCAGTTGTTCAGAAATTCTTCCACTGGTCTTGGAAGTCTGCCCTTTCTGCATTCCCCTGAACCTTTATCTTCCTGCCCCATCTCCTCCTCCTTCTCTAAAGATAGGATATCTGAGATCATGAGTTTACCAGATTTCAGAAAATGAAAGGGGTAGAGACCTTGATTCTAGGCTTTAATGTGCAAAAGTTTCTAATTACCAAACCAAAATCAAACTCACTACCATGGAGTCGAATCTGACTCATAGTGACCCCTCTTTGGGTTTCCGAGGTGATATCACTATGGAAGTAGATTGCCCAATCTTCCTTCATGGTAAAAGCTTCAAACACAGGGACAGTTTTGAGTTACTTCTTTTTCTTGGATGGGTGCAGTGTCAGGGAGGAGGGGAGAAGAGCCAGTGGCAATAAATGTTTGTGGAAATAAAGGACAGGAGGAAACAAAGAAATACAGGCTAAATGACTGAGTGAATAAATGAAAATATCTTAGTTATCTAGTGCTGCTATGACAGAAATACCACAAGTGGGTGGCTTTAACAAACAGAAATTTATTCTCTCACAGTTTTGGAGGGCAGGAGTCCAAATTTAGGGCATCAGCTACAGGAGAAGACCTCTCTCTGCCAGCTCTGAGAGAAGGTCCTTGTGTCCTTTCAACATCTGTGGGCCCAGCATTCCTTGGAGATCTCCATGTGTCTTTGGGTCTAGGAGGTTCTCAGTGCAGAGACCCTAAGTCCAGCATGCTCCACTCTCAGCTCTTCTTTCTTGATGGTACTGAGATCCCTCTGATCTCTGCTCATTTGTTTAATCTCTTTTATATCTCAAAAAGATTAACTCAAGATACAGCCTAATCCTGTAAATTATACCCTGTCTCTTTAACATTTCTGCTTCTAATCTTGCCTCATTAACATCATAAAAAATATCATAGAGCTTAGGATTTATAACATGTAGGATAATTACATCATATCAGTAAATGGAGGATAATTACATAATATTGAGAATCACAGCCTAGCCAAGTTGACACATGTTCTGGGGACACAATTCAATCCATAAGAGAAGGCATACATGTAAAGCTAGGTAAAAAAGTAACAGGAACCTTGGGGAAGAGGGACCCCAAACACCCACATTTGAAATATAAGCAAACTGAGATTTAGAGAGGCAAAAAGACAATTACCTTCTTTTTGTTTAAAAAATGAGTAAGGAGGATTGAGAGATTTCATATAAAAAGGGCCCTGGATATTGAGTAGGGGTGTAGTCATGCATAACAGCATTGGAGGGGTGGATAGGGAAGAAACAGGACTTATGGCCTGAAGGCAGAGAATGGGGGTGCTGCCGGGGGAGCAGGGCAGGGGTGAGAGCAGGCGCCAGTGGGGAGCAGGGAGCAATAGGTAGACTATGAGGAGGCACGCTTAGGGAAAGCAGCTCAGTCATCCCATTCATCATCCTCATCCTCATCCCCAGCTTGGTCCTCCCCTTCATCTGGAGGAAGAAAGAAAGAAGGACATGGAGTGGGAACTCAGGTTGGGCTGGAGGATTCAGAGCCTCTGGAGGGGTGTTCCTAGGGTTTGAAAGAGTGGGACTCATAGTGCCAGGGGTTGGGGTCTCCTGTTAGGAAATCAGATGTAGGACCTGTGAGACTAGATGAAGAAGACACCTCCTCAGAGGAGTGAGTCAGAGTTTCAGTTTGGGACAAGATAGGGATTATAGTTGGGGTCTCGGTTCCAATTAGAGTTGAAATTAATATTATTGTAAACAATGTGGTTAGTTGTGATATTGTCACCCAAAGGGTTAATGAAAATCAGTTTGTCACTTAATGGGTGAATTTGAATATTATTGTCAAAGGTTAGGTAAGTTTGAATATTAGTATCTCATAGTGGGCTAATGTCAATATTTTGACACATTAGGGAATTAATGCTAACATTTTGTAAAAATGATTGGGTTAATTACATTATTATTATCACATAGTGTGTTAACATTAATCTTGTTGACACATTAAAAAAAAAAAAAACTCACTGTCATTGAGTCAGATCCAACTCATAGTGACCCCTCCTTGGGTTTCCGAGGTAGTATCACTACAGAAGTAGATTGCCCAACCTTCCCTCCAAAGAGTGGCTGGTGGGTTTGAACCACCAGCCTTCTGGTTAGCAGTCAAATGCCTTAGGCACTATGCCACCAGAGCTCCCACACACATTATGGGGCTAAATCAATATTGCAGACACTCCTTGGCATTATCATTGTCACATAATGAGTTAATGTTAACATTGTCAAGAAGCAAAATTCATGTTAATACCATTATCAACTTGTGGGGCTAATGTTAATATTGATGGTGACTGCTGGGGCTGCTTTTATGCCATTCCTAGCCTTGGGAAGCAGGTGCCAGGTCCTGGCAGTATGGGCCCAGAACAGGCCTGCAGAGGACAGTTGCAGGCTGGGAAGACCTGGGTTCTCACCTGAGGAGTGGATGGCTCTGCTTCTCTTCTGCATCACGTGCATCAGGGCCCCAACCAGTCCCTCTGAGCTCTGTGGTGGCGGCTGCAGCACTGAGCTCTCTGGGGCCCCAGGAGTCTGCAATAAGTAGAGGCACAGCACGCAGGGTTCAGGGCCTTCCAGAGGGCATTCCTTCCTGCCTCTTTATTATTTCTCTTCCCACGTACTCGAATCCCCTTCAAGGTTTCAAGCTCATCTCTTGCCCTCAATCTCCCAACTCTATCACTGAACCCCAGAATCCAAAACCTGGGCCCTCCCAACCCCCAGTCTCTGCTGATGGCCCCCCAATATCCTGACTTGCAGAGCACACCCCAGAGTCCCAGACCCCCATCTCTC